AAGAAGAGATGAGATGAGGGGAAAGAAACCGCCTCACACACTTTTGTTATAGGCTACAAGACCAGCAACTTGACAAGCTTGGTGCTCAGGAGTTCCCTGGGGTCTTTAGTCTCATAACTATGCCTGCTGACCTTATATTGCAAACTTTACAGTTCTATAAACCAGTACGGAATGAAATGAATCCATCCAAAGAGTTTTACTTTCATATCATGTACAGTATATATATACACCGTATACACAGTATGAAGCCTTCCAATGACTTATCCATAGGGAGAGATTTCCCAGCTGCTGTAGTCGGCTCCTTCTGATAACATTTACCCATTAAAGGAAGAACTGACCCGCAGTGTCTGAACGCTGCCAGCTGCCTAGGACCCAGGAGCCAGAAAATAACTGAATGTTTTTTATCCTAAGAAACCAAATAGTTACTTTGGGTGTAATCCAACAAATGAAATGGCCAGAGAGTGGAATGAAATACTCAATGTAAGGGGAATCAGGGAAGGTTGTAATCATACACGCTGTAAGGGAGGGCAGTGGAAATCTGGAGGAAGACACAGTAGAAACCTTTCCTTCTATACAGCAGAACCCTAACGAGGATGTAAATCAATCCGTCTTCCCGATATTTCTCTCGTTTTCGCACGCAGGTGAACCCATCGCGTGCTTATGTTAATACTCGCTTGCTGGGATGGCGGACTTTAAAATGTTTTTCTATTTTTCGATTTATTTTATTTATATTTATTTTTTCAACTTTTATTTTTTACTTTACTTAATTGCTATCACATAAGGGGACTCACAAGCCCCATATGTGATAGCATACTAGTGGTGAAAGGTTCTGTTTAAGGTGACATTAGGGGTCAATTAGACCCCAAGTGTCACCTTTCCACTCCAAAGAAGCTATTGGAGCTGTGCTCCAATATCTTCTTGCCCAGCTTCTGCAGCAGGGCAACGACAGCTGGAGGACTGGAAGTGATGCAATCAGCGTTGCTTCTGGTTCCATTAAGCAGCGAGGAGATCGGCAAACGGATGTTCGCCTTCCCCGCTTCCTCCTGACAGGAACTGGGAGGGCTAAATAGTCTCCTTCAGATAAGACAGAGCATTTCTGACAAGATCAACAGTTATTTCTACACTTATGAAAAGATAAAACAAAATTCTTTCAATGTTATATTTAACAAACCAAAAACGAGAAAATAAGAGACGTTTATTGTTAGGGTTCACATACACTTTCATAAAGACCCATTATTAATATCAATTGGTTTAGTCCGAAGGAGAATTGACCTCCTCTTTGTTTTTTGTAGACTATTGTGATCAATGCCCCTCAAAGACATCTTGTATGTCATGTGGGTGCAGCATCAACACATGTTTACTTCAAATGTAACCATACAGTAGAACTCCAGCTTTCATAATATATACTGTAAACTTACAGCTTAGCACAATGTAATATATATCTCTCTCTCTCTCTCTCTCTCTCTCTCTCTCATATATATATATATATACACAGTGGGGCAAAAAAGTATTTAGTCAGCCACCAATTGAGATTATCAGTGGTCTTGTATGTCTTCCATTTAAAGCTGGAGTCCCGCTTTAAGGTTTAATTTGAAGCAAACACATCACTGCAAGGCTTTTGCTGTAGTTAGAGTAACAGAGATGGGTAACGTACATTTTCATGTTATCTTAGGTTGTTGTTAGCATATAGAAATGCTGTTGAAGCTAATAACTTGTAGAGGCCTTCCACTGTCACTTATAATTTAAGAACGAGAGACATACAGTAAGTAACTACTAGTTGCTGATTATTTTATTTTTTCACCCATGCATTGCTGCTTCTGTCCCGTTCCCTTTTGTATGTAATCTGGCAATCTGAGAACCCGTTTATAATGCAAGAGAGTTATTCCCAAACACACCTACTGCAGGCTCCTATTGGTCTTGTCTCATAAAGGAGACCTGTAGAATAAGTCATGTAGACTAACAATGTATCCTTTAATTCTGTAAAGAGACCTGCAGGGCTGGTGATACCGTAGGGCAGACTTGGTGAACAGTGATCTTTCCATACGTTCTAAATTACCCGGAGAAGCTGGCAGGGAACTTTACTTTTGAGACACATGATTTTTTGCACAGCAATTAAATTGAGCACGGTGTTATTTTCAGATGATCTTAATCCGATGTCATGCGGGATATTTACTATGGTGTTACAATGAAAATGTGCTTGGTTTTCCATGCCTGTCAGTGCACAGAGGATGGTTACAGATAGATCTGAGAACATTGGACAGGAAGATATCTAATGGGTAAATGGAATGTTCCATACAATTGATGATAAAAGCTGTGGCAAGGCTCACTGTCTCTAATTTCCTTAGATACATGACTAGAGCCTTCTTCTATTTGGAGGTTCTTGTTGTTGTCCCTCCCATTAGGTCACAAAGAGCCTGATTGTCACAGGCAAAGCTTGAGTTGGGAGCATTGATTATGAGCCCATTGATGACCACCCTGAGGCAACAAATTCTCCATTTAGCTACGTCTGTCACATCGGATGCTATAAAGGCGCCCACACAAAATATGATTGTCACCTTATCTGACCCAACTGTCATACAACACAATTTATTATGGCTTTAAAAATCTGAAATGCAGGAGTTCCATTCACAGGGGATGTGGTATTGTCTGAGGCCCTCCTATTACAGAACAAGAATAATATAATGCGGCTGCCAGTGGTGTAACTATAGCCATAGAAGCCCAGGCAGCTGCTATGGGGCCTGGGGGTGGAAGAGGACCCCACTAGGTTGTTTAGGCAAATTAGCCCTCGTTCACACCTGAACGTTTTGTAGAGCGTTCTACGCTCGAGGAACGCTCTACAAAACGCTCAAACATGAAAGTCCCATTGTTTTCAATGGGTCTGGTTCACACCTTGGCGTATTTCAGCCCGTTCCTAACGCGCTACAAAACGGCCCACGCCTGAAAAGGTACATGTACTACTTTGGTCCGTTTTTGTTGCGCGTTTCCATTGGGATACAGCCAAGTAGCGCTCGGAAACGCGCGTTTGTCGCGCAATTTTTTTTACCGCGAATTGCGGTAAAAAACGCGCGACATGCATATGCAGACGCGCATATGCAATACGCCTAGGTGTGAACCAGGCCTTAAACATAAGAAAATAACACAGTACTGGGTTGGGATCCCTGAATGGGTGACATCAAAGGTTGTGATATCTAAACTATACCCTTAGTTATTTTTAACGCCCTCAATACTGACATGTTTATTTGTGACAAAACAAATCCGATCACCCCGGTGTGTCTACTTTCCAGGAAAAGGGGGCATTTTGTGGGATTTATGTTCTGACATTTTTATTTGCTATATTTTATAGGAAAAAGTAAAAAATATAAAACAAAAAGCAGAATAATAAATATAGGAAAAGGAAGCTCTATCTGTCTCACAAAAAAATGATATAAAATGAATCTGTCTACTGTGTTGTGTGACCCAGTAATCCCCAGTCAAGTGTTCACAGCACTGAAAAATGACCTAAAGGGGGTTTAAAAGAGAGCTACAGTCAAACCTTTCTTTGGCTTTAGTCCTCTTTTGGGTCACAGGAGGACATTTACTAATATATTCCTGTGACCCAAACTCAGCATGTGGGGGCAACCTAGTATCTCAGAACTGTGTTTTACTGTCAGGAAGAATTCAGACAATATTGTTGGGATCCACCCCCTGACTGATTGACAGCTGGCTCTGCCACTCTAGAGCCAGACACAGCTGTGCCCGCCCCCTCCCCTGTCTGTCCCTCCAATTAATGTGCTGGAGGAACAAGGAGGGAAAATGAAGTGGCGTAACCTCCTGCAGTCTGCCCGTTGAGAAAAATCGTACGGACAGCAGACTCCCATTGGCGGGTTGCCGTCTCCAGCACAGCCGTTACCGGCTGTTTCTCATACAACTGATCAGCGGCTCTATAGCTGCCGATCGGTTGTATGGGGTGTTTTGAAGTAAAACCGCCG